CGCGTACCCCAGGTTGAATACCACTGGTCTAGACTACAGCAGGGGTTCTCAACCTTACCGCTAATTATAATTTAACACACAAATATACCACCAACCAAATGTATTCAAGGAACAATTATCATCTTTCGATTTCCTTACATATAGTTCGCGTACCATAGGTTAAGAAACGATGGACTAGAGCAATTCTACAACTAATATGTCACTTGTTTCACTCTTGTGCTCTTCTGAAGGCGTGCAGCAAAGATTCGTTGGAATTTACGACAGAAACACCAAAGTTCAAGTGGACAGAACGAATTTTCGTAAAAATTCTGCAACAAAAATGATAAACGATGCGAAGTAACCGATAAGCAACAAGTAGAAACCAGACTGCAGGTGTTCGAGGGACAGCTTGAAGTATTCATCAGAGAGTCCGTAAGGAAAGAACGCCTTTGTTTTAACCATCTGGATGTAATCGGTTATCTTCACCCATTCGGCGAAAATTCCCGATTCCACAACATGTAATAATATGTCATTTATTCTATCGAACAAACAGGATCCTTTCGGTAACACCATGACGACTGGACCGCGTTCGACAACTCCATCTTCAATTTCGCAAAGCGATTTGCTGTTGGTCTCCTCCGGCCGATTTATAGAAATCAGGAACTTATAAAGAATATCTGAGAACAGAATTGAAAGATTTTTGTATTTTGTTGCCCAGATAAAACACGTGGTCTGATCCTCACATTCAACTTTCTTCGACATAATTCTTCGTGACTGAACATCGTTCTTGTCTTCGTAGAAGACTCCATCTCTAAAAGATAATCCAAGTTTTATATCAGATCTTGCGAGTTCCTCTACATTCTTCTCATGAGGAATTACACCAGGATCGGTAAGAAAGCTCGTGAGGTAAGTCTGGAACACGGTGTCAATCGCGAGACTGTAGAAGACCCATGACATGAAGAAACACCTCAGTGACCACTTCCGGGGCATCTCGGGTACAGACACAGACAATATCACAGCCCACGTATCGGATAAGACATTGGATCCAGTCGTGTAAACAGAATCTTCCGATAATCTTTCCAGCAACATGATTACAGGAACGGAAATCAAAACTGACATCATCACAGACGCCCAGAGACTCCCGGAAAACATCCTCGAAATGCTCATCCAACGGGGATATATACTTCCACAAGGCACGTACCACGATAACTGACCCCAGTGGTAAGGTCGTGTTGCCTCGATCGGAACGTCATCTCTCACGACGAGGAGACCCACTGCCAAGTCAGCTCTGTTCTGAAGTAACTCCCTCGTAAAACCAGCAAAATCCCCTTTGTCATCAGTTAAATTCCAGAAGTCTTTGACTGGGAGCAGATATTCCTCTGTCATGTTCATTTTTCGTGTTATAATGTTTAACAGTCTGATCTCCCAACCATCCCTGTAAGAAATTTTGTAGACTCCTGGACGGTTTACGTACGTGAAGCAAGGATCGAGTACAGTGAAAATAGTTGGTTGAGTTAATATCCTTAAAGGACATCCGTGTAGATCTAAACCTGTCTTTGGTGGGAAGAGGTCAGCGTCTTTAATAAAGTGACCTCTGACCCACGTGTCCAACAACGCGACCTCATCCACTTCGATACATCGATCTGAATTCTCGTATGGGTACCACGTATAGGCCTTCAAAACTGATTCCATTTCACTTCGTTCCTCGAAACTGGGAACTAACACAACAACATTTATGATTTTGTGATCCCAAAGTTCTTCGAAAATCCTTTGTACCTTGAGCGAAGAATTCTTGAAACTATTCGACAAAGCCACGACAAAGCGACCTCTGGGGTTCCAAGCGTTGCTTCTGGACAGATGAATTATCTGATTGCGGAGAATTATCGGTGTTCTCTCCGGGTTATCTGTGTCGATGGGAGTAATTATTACGTAGTTACGATGAATGTCGTCGTAATTTATCCGATTGCGTTCACACGTGTTCTTACACACGACGAGTATCCAACGGCTTAACTCTGGAAACACAAGATCGAGAACTTCATCGACATTTCTCATTTTATTTAATTGTAATTCCTCGGTTTGATAGGTCACACTACTTTCGTTCTGTCTGTCACATCCAGAGGAAGTAGAAATTCTAGAAGTATTTAAACTCGTAAACGTGACGTCATTGTCAGGCCAGGCGACCACAAGAGTTTGTGTTTGTTCGAAATATCTTTCACTAATCGATCTGAGACATTTTACCAAGTAAAGATTACGTGACGTAGATGGATTAACATTTGACAATAATCCTAATAAATACGCCAGCAATACGAATATGTTGTAATGTCAACAATCGCCTTTCGTTACTGTGGAAACAAATGGGCTGGGAATCGCTTGTGGAAAAGGTGCGTCGTACACAAGATACTTTTGTGCAATGAAAACCTTTGAAAATAACCCAATATACACATTTCATACGAATTATTAAGGCACTTCGTTATCATCGGTTGTTCTTGACATACGAGGTGCGCTCGGAAAGTTTCAAGACTGTGTCAATAGAGTGCGAACCGGATGTAGTACGAGCTTCTGCTGCTAGGGGGTGCGGCCTACATTCATAGTGAATCGGTGTGCCAGCCGGCATCATCGAATTAGCATTTGTTTCTTAGTTACGGGCGTTTTGGTAGTGCATTACACCGACCCTCCTGCGCTTTCGGAATGGCGTGTGCATCAAATTTTGCCAAAGACTCGCCAAAACGGCTACGGAAACCTGTGAAATGCTAAAGCAAGCATTTGGGGAGTCCGCAATGGGTCGTGCACCAACTTTTGTGTGGCATTCACGTTTTAAAAATGGCCGAACCTCTGTCGATGATGACGAGCGTTCTGGACGACCATCTTCGAGCACAACGCCCGAAAATGTTACGAAGATCGACGTCGTACCATCACTTGTACGACTTGTGCGACATTGTTGGGATAGGCTATGGGACCTGTCAGCTGATTCTAAAGGAAGAACTCCACATGCGACGCAAGGCTCCTGTCTGAGGACCAGAAGCAGAATCGCCTTGACTTCTCGTTTGTCAGGAGCTGAAAGATCTTGCAAGAACCGACCCCAACTTCCTTTTTAAGCTCCGTGTGACTTCTTCCTCTTCCCAAAGATGAAAATTCAGCTCAAGGGAAGGAGATTTGAGACGATAGAAGAGATTCAGGCAGAATCGCAGATGGTGCTTGACAGGCTGAGAAAGAAAGATTTCCAGGGATGCTTCCAGGCTTGGCAGCGGCGCTGGGATCGTTGTGTTCACTCCCAGGGGAACTACTTCGAGGGTGATGGATGAATTTAATACCTGAGATAAGTGTACGGGTCTTTATAGGCGCAGTCTTGAAACTTTCCGATCACACCTCGTAGAGCCTCATTGCTCAGCTCCTACCGCTAAAACGTTCTTTCGATACAAGACGTCGTTTAATAAAACATAAAGTGACATCCCTCATATCATATGAATTCATTCCTCAAGCCGAGAAGAGGCACTTTCATTAACTTTGTCCGTGAATCCACTCCGCCTTTCTGATTACAGTTTTCCGTGACCATAAACAATAAACGTTTCCTCGTCTCCAAGCAAGTGGGATTTCTTATTACATCAGGCTAAAGTAGTTCTAATTTACTAGATTAAATTAATTTACAGAAGTCCGGGCCCCTAAGTCAAACATGTGACAGGTACCTGTTCTAATAGTCAATATAATTTTTCATATGTTTATAAAATAATACGTAAATTTATAACAGACCAAGATTCAACCAACGGATATTAGAAAAATATAAAATTCACTATCAACCAGTGGACCATCGTAACTCATAAAACACAAATATTGCAATAGCAACCAAATCCCCCTCCAAAAGAACACGCTTTAATAAATATATAAAA